TTCTACTACTACTACTATTACTACTACTACTGCTGCTGCTGCTGCTGCTGCTGCTGCTGCTGCTGCTGCTGCTGCTGCTGCTGCTGCTGCTGCTGCTGCTGTTGTTGCTGCTGCTGCTGCTGCTGCTATTACGGCAACTGCTTATTCTTCTGTTTAAAAACGAATGATTCTTAATAATTCCTGTAAAAAACAGTAGCAGTATGAAACTTCTTGTGAAATATATAACTCAGAGAATACAATTTATATTTATTTATTTCAGAACTCCCTCAAAAGTTAGTTAATATTCCCATAAAATATTAAAAACATGGAGTACACACCACACCTAATAATAAAGTAAACAATGTTTTCAATCATAATAATAATAATAATAATAATAATAATGTTTTGGCAAATGTCCCCCCTAAAAAGAAAGACTATTCCCTACTGATTCCTCCAAAATAAGAAATGTTCCCCACTAAAGGCAACAATGAAGGTGAAGTCCCTGCCTGAGGCGAAATTTTCCCCTGCACTTTTGGCTCGTCTCATGTGTCCAACCCGAGGCGAGGGGAAAATTCCCCCTGGGAGGGTGGGCTAGTTTTGCGGGCAAGGGATAGTTTGACCTCGCTTAACCGAACAGAGATACAAAATCTCTCCCTGCACCTGTTGCCCATCCGGATTATTGAACTCCTATTCGATCGAAACTACATTTCTTTAAATTACAGTATATTTTCTAGAAAATATATTTTGAAACAGGCGTAGTTTTAGTGTTAAGGTAATTCAAGTTCAAGTCCGGTTATTGAGACAATATAATACATCTCAAAGGGATAGAGTAGCTTAGGCTATTTCTACCCTCCATGTAAGACAATTATGAAGAGAAAGTGCTAAGTTATTACGACTATATAGCACTTGAAAGGGATATGAAGAAAAGGATTTGGGATGGATCGGAGGGCAGGAAAGTGCTCAAATATTTAGATCGTCGGGGATTGAACTCTGACCTGCACGGAGCGAGGCCATCGCTCTACCGATCGTTCCAAGTGATTGAGTAGTTTTCGTGTTGAGAAAACAGTATTGTTGGGTATTGGTGCTTGTTACACATCAGTTATCAATTCAGCTTAATTTTCTGCAGCGGCGGGATAGTCCTGAGCGGGGCTAGGTAGACTTATAAGGTATACCGCGGTTGTCGCTGTATACACTCACTGTGAGTTTACTTTAGCCTCGGGGCTATGCTCAGGACTGAGATATTCTTGAAGGTATTAAACGAAAGAAAAATGTTGTTTTGTTGATCTGTTGTTGTGTTTAAGATTTGCTACTTGAAACAAAAAATTTCCAAGTAGCACGGGCTATGGTGAGCCCGTAGTGGACTTATTGGCACAGGAGAGGGGCTGTAACTGTTTTTGGTTTATCTTCATTGAGCACTAAAATATCGAAAACAAAACCGTCATTACACACAGAGATCACACTAACGTGATGCATCAAATGAACGATGCATTAAAACCGTCATTCACCGGAGAAGGTAAACAGTCACCTCACCGTTCCGTCACCCAGAATATTCACAGGTGACCTTCATGTCGTACGCTCACTTGGGCATAAACAATGCATTTGCAACCCAAGATGGCTGAACCTTCTGAGAGATGTGTTTCTCATTGGAGAGTTACAGATGATGCATTGCTAAATATCTCTTCATGTTCGTAGATAGGTCGGAGGATGGCTTCCCGCCAAACACACACCGAAACTACGACGTTGGTACAACGTTCGGACAAGTTTTAACACCACCTACCCAGTTATAACAACCAATATAGCAAGTTATAACAACGTTCTAATACGTCATAAACACGTTAACCCAAGATGTAACAACTTTATTACAAGTTGTAACAAGCGGAAAATAGAGACAGTTTCGATTTGTGTTTCCAGGGTTTTTCTTGTTTGATTTACTGAGTGTCGCGTGGACTGACTCCTCTGGCTACTTGGAGAAGCAGGACCCGGATTCACGAAGCAGTTACGCAAGTACTTAGGAACGTGTGTATCTTTCCTCAGTCGTTGACGGCTTTGGTTACATTTATTAAACAGTTTACAAACATGAAAACTTCCCAATCAACTATTGATATTGTTATAAACATCCTCCTGGTGTTTAGGAGCTCATTAACTATTTAGGAAGATTAACTGTTGTTTAGGAGCTCATTAACTGTAACCAAAGCCGCCAAATATTGAGAAAAGATAGACAGGTTCGTAAGTGCTTGCGTAACTGCTTCGTGAATCTAGCCCCTGGTCCCTGCTATTTTTATTATGGAGGTTATCATGAGAGGATTTCGGGACTTAGCCTCCCCGCGGCCCTGTCCTCGACCAGGCCTCCATTTTGTTACTCATCCCCAGGAAGTAGCCCGTAGCAGCTGTCTAACTCCCAGGTACCTATTTGCTGCTTGGTAACAGGGGCATCAGGGTGAAAGAAACTGCCCATTTGTTTCCGCCTCCACCGGATAATACCACTCCTTATCCGTAGTCTCTTCCCATCTCCCTATTCATTAACTTTTCCTCTTCTCTCCATCTGCTTGGCCCCTCTCAGGCCCATTATTGTGACTGAAAAAAAAATGAACGTGGATATTCAGCGTTTTTCTCCCTCGTGTGTCATGTAGTTAGGACGATACTAGGCAGTTCATTTCAGGATTACATGATATGTCATGTTCTGCGTTTTAATGTTCCTTTAGTTCATTCTCCCACTATGAGTTAGCCTTTTTTCGGGCTATTCATGCCCGTGCCACCTCTTGGGTGGCTCAATCTTTATCAATCAATCAATCTATGAGTTAGGCACGAGCAGAGGTTGCAAGACACTGATGCAGAGGAGGTCCCAGGGCACTTGACCATCAGGGGGCCCAGGACACTTAACCATCAGGGGGGCCCAGGACACTTGACCATCAGGGGGCCCAGGACACTTAACCATCAGGGGGCCCAGGACACTTGACCATCAGGGGGCCCCAGGACACTTGACCATCAAGGGGGCCCCAGGAGACTCCCAGGAGCAGAGGTGAACAGGTAATTCTCAACAGGTGAGTCATGTGGGTTAATCAGCTGATGATGTACGTGAATGTCAACATAAATAATTGAATTGCATGGATGAGAATACAATAACTGAGTCATACCGTGCAACAGAGAACGAGAGAGAGAGAGAGAGAGAGAGAGAGAGAGAGAGAGAGAGAGAGAGAGAGAGAGAGAGAGAGAGAGAGAGAGAGAGAGAGAGAGAGAGAGAGAGAGAGAGAGAGAGAGGAAAGGGGAGGGGGTAGGAGCGGGCTTGTGAATAAGAGTCAACACCTTACCTAACAGCAAGAGATATAAATGAACTCGTATGCCACATTATGTACCTGGTTCCTTACGGGCTCACCATAGCCCGTGCTACATGGACACTTCGTTCTGAGTAGCTAAATCTAAAACAACAAATAACAACAGCCACTTTACGAGTGATTAGCAAAAACCTATTTTCAACGTATATTGAGTCCCCTAATACAACGTTCCTCAGTATTATATAAAAATGGTACTGAGGAACGTAAAATCGTAAAATAAAAAATCTCGTAAAATCCGTTCGTTAATAGACGAACGTTTATAAAAAAAAAGTTTGTAAAGCATTGCATTTTAATTATTTAATTAAATTTTTGTCTGCTGCTTGACCTACAATATATTTACTTAACTTTGGTAATAAAAGACTGTAAACTTTTTATATATACATTTTTTTGGCATTAAATTAATGAGTCACATGCTTTTATTGACATGTGTTTTAGTTTTCCACAGTTTATACTAAATTATTCAACCAATAATTAATAAATCTAAGTCTATTCTCTTAACAAACTGTTAGAATCAGTAAGGTCTATAGCAACTAGTGTATTAGGTACCCTACGAAGGCTCCAGGCTCCATGTGTCCAATGACCCGATTCATGAAGCAGTTTCGTAAGTAGTGATGTACGAACCTGGGGCCAGATTCACGAAGCAGTTACGCAAACACTTACGAACCTGTACATCTTTTCTCAATCTTTGGCGGCTTTGTTTACAATTATTAAACAATTAATGAGCTCGGAAGCACCAGGAGGCTTTTATAACAATAACAACAATTGATTGGCAAGTTGTCATGCTTGTAAACTGTTTAATATATGTAACCAAAGACATCAAAGATTCAGGAAAGATGTACACGTTCTTAAGTACTTGCGTAACTGCTTCGTGAATCTGGGCCCAGCACATCTTTTCTCAATCTTTGGAGGCCTTGTTTACCTTTGTTAAACAGTGTATGAGCTCCGAAGCACTAAGAGTCTGTTTATAACAAGGACACAAACCTCCCAATAACATTTGATTGGGAAGTGTCGATGCGCGTAAATCATTTAGTATATGTAAACAAAGTCGCTAAAGGTGAGGCAATTATCAAAAGAAAGTACTTAACCATTGAGAAAAGATGTAGAGGCTCGTAAGTACTTGCGTAAGTGCTTGTTGAATTCTTCTTCCCCCCCAGGACCCCAAACCATTGGTGACGTTGAAAAATAATTATCTAGTTTGTATTCGTCACCAAAACATCATTAAAATACTTTATATTATAGTTTAAAAGTGACTATCGCCAGAGATGTTATCTAGTGGGTTTAGTATTGAAAATAGTACGCTTCAAATAGTTAGATGATGGGCTTATAAAATTATTAATATTAAGATTCGCGTAATCTACTTAAGACATCGCCGACATGATTGGGCTGTACTCTGAACTACGTGTTTATTAACTTTATGCTCGTTATCCATTCCGAAGTGCCGCCATAGCATCATCTAATGATGATAATTCAATGATTAATTTATCTTTAAATTGATGCATAAGAATGTGGTAGAATCAACAACGTCAGTAATTAATTAATAATAAAATTGAACCGGCAACTGTCAGTGATTGCAGCGTCTTGCTCGCT